TTAATTAAATTTATTTTTGATAATTCTTTTATTTTTTTATTCATATTTATTGATATTTATTTTTAGAAAGTTGCTGTCCTTTTTGTACAAATGAATTACCAAACCCATTACTAGAAAAAATTCAAGACTTATTATAAAAAATTGCAAAGCAAAATGTTAAAACTAAATAATATTATAGTATATATTAATATACTGTAAATTACAAAACTTAAAATAATTTTATATTTATAGATAATCTTACACTTGAAGATCATAAAATGTTTTGTGAAATTCATTATATAGAAACTACTATAGTACCTGATGGTATTCAAAAAGGCTATTCAACAGAAATTAACTTTGCATTATTAAACTCCTATATTGTTCAATGAAAAATGAACTCTTAAATATTATTAATAGAAAAACAAAAAGTTATTATCATGACTTCACTCTTAGCATTTGTAATAAAATTGGACAAAGAAAAGCAAATAATTCTATGGCAATAATAGGCCAATATAATACTTTTAAGGTATTAAATATATTTATTATATATATATTTTGATTACTGTATTTATTATAATTAAATATTATTTGCTATTACTATTTAATTCAAATTATTTTATAGCCAGGATATTATAGTTCATGAGGATTAGATATTATTAGTAGTGTACTTTCTGATCTTTTTTTATATACAAATGTTCTAACTAATGATTTAGCTTATTCCAAAAGTCAAGTAGACTATTTACTAGAAGTTTTAGTTCCAGAAACTGCATTGCATTTAATGTCTCAAGACAGAGGTAATATTGAACTTGAAGATGCAAGAAAAATTATGGATGATAGTAGCACTTTTGGTGATTATATACATGCAGATTTAACAAATTAAAATTTAACAATGTAAAAAAATTTACTTAATATATAGATATTTTTCTTTCAGAAATATTTTTATTTGCATCATATTCATATCATATTTCTTATTTAATTTTATTTATTTTTATTATCATTAATTTAATTATAAAAATCTTTTATTAAAAATTTATTTAAGGTAAGCTTAATTTGTCTTATCACACTAATTTATTGAAGTATTATCATTATGATTATTAATCAATTTATAGTTTAAACAAATACTTGTTAAGCGAATAATAGTTTAACAGGTGCTGAAGTCTTATTATCTATATAATAATCATTACAAAATTTGAATAATTCATACATTACCAAGTTAGAAGTCAAAAAAATTGCTTATTCTTATTAGGGTTTATCTAATATTAAAAATTTTGAACTGCTTAAAGATGTTGTCTATATTAATATTAATTAATAGTAAATATAATAATTATTTATTCATGAATTTGTTTATATTATTTTAGCACTAATTTTGTTAGTGAGTTTATTAATTAACTTATTGCATTTATAATAGATTATTCAAGCTTATAGTATTTGCTATTATTTTATTTTATTTGGTTAATTTATTTAGTAAATATACCAATTATTTATTTATAAATTTTCTAGAATTAAGTATTTAAAGTAGTTATTAGGTATAATGACTATTTTATTAATATTAATTAATATAATCTATTAATTTAAAATAAGCTATTAAAACTCAGCACTTAATGTTCTTAGAAAATTGCTATCTCGAGATTTAAAAAAAAATAAGCTACTCAAACTTATAGTATTTACTATTATTTTTATATAATTTATTTTTTTTACAGAATATTAATTTAGTTAATAATATTTATTAAATATACTGTATTAAGTATAACAATACTTTACTATATATTTTATTGATTTTATTAGCATTTAATTAATACATACAAATACATAACTATTTATTAATCAAATTATTTATTATAAGCTTTTCAGCTTAGCATTTAATATAATACTTATTTAATGTTATTTTATAGTATTAATATTAATTTGGTTAGTTATTAATTGAATTATTTGTAACATTATACTGTATTATTTATTTAATTTATCATATTAGCTTTTTGATAAATATTCTCTCTAACATGATATAGATTGGTTCTATCTTATAACTTCTACTGTATATGTATTTTGCTTTCTACAAATTCATACACACCTAAATATGTATTTTACTTTTTGTTATCTACCATCCCAAGAAGGTCCATTTAGGAGAAAATATAGAATTATACAAGTATTAAAATTACTTAAAATCTATTATTGCGAATTTATTTTTAAGTTGTAATTTTATTTTTACTGTCTAATTGTTCATGATACTTTGTAAAATAATAGATTCTATTTTATCAAATTTGTGATTTTGGTTAGTAATTATTTTTAAAGTTGATTATGATAAATTTTAAAACAGAATTTATTATTTTGTATGCTGAGCTAATGTTTTAGCTGTAATAGTTGTATAAAATAATACTTATAATAGAAATTATAATAGTATTACAAGTCAAATTTTTTGACCAATCAAATTTAATATATCTAGGGGTCCAGGTTAATAACCTAGACCAGGGGTTCAGGTTAAGGAACCTCCCATCAAAAAAGCTTAGTTATATGATTTTTGTGGCTTAGATATGGCTTGTTAGTTCATATATTTATTAATGTTGAGTAATTACTTTATAAATTAATTTTATTTATTTCATAAAATAAATGAATTTGATTACAAGAAATTGTTCTAAGTCTGAAATAATTGTAATTATCTGCATGATATAAAAATTATATTTTTAAAAAAATTAATAGCATTTTATAAAACATTATACTAAAACTGTTTCTTATAATAAAAACACATAATATTGATAATGTAATTTAAAAAAAATGCATCACAAAATGTACAATAAAAAACATGCTGTATAATATGAATATAAAATAGTTACTATTATTGCAAATAGCAAGTGTTATTTGTATGATCTTTTCATGTCAATGGCATTGTTCTTTTTCTTTGATATTTTTTAATATTATTAACTAATTTAAAAATTGAAATGAAAGATTTTTTTATAGCTTTACACTATTTGATATTACTAATTAATTTTTGTTCTTTAATAATAGCAAGAGCTTTTTTGGTTGTATTAATCAAATTATTAAAAATATCTTTTTTAATTGATTCTTTAACTGGTTCCTCAACTGGTTTTTCGACTGGTTTATTATTATTACTGTTAAGATCATAATTCTCTTTATTATTATTTTCCATAAAAGGTGGTAGATCATTTTCAATTAGAAAAAAAGATTGCAAAATTCTTTTTAAATTAATAAAAAATTTAGTTATAATATTTTCTTTTTGATATACTAAATGTTTATATAAATTAAAATGAATTGTCAAATAATAATAACATCCACAAACCCATTAATTTACATTAATATTATATATTTGATTAATATTTCACTTGGATAATTCTTTTCATTCAAATTTAAAGTTATTAATCCATTTGGGCCTCTCTTTTCCAATTTGAATTTGTTGCAATTTGCATTGCTAATGTATAATAACTTGTTTCATTAGGATATATACAACTAAGTCTATTCTTGGATAAAAAAATTTATATAAAAAGTCTCTTTTGAGTACCTTTCAATAACCTTCGATAAACATAATAGTTTTTAAAATAGAAATCATATCAGTGCAAGATGATCAGGCCTATAACTTTTATTTTAATTCACTATATTATTCAATCCAAAAATATGACCAAAGTGATATTAAAGAATTGTTTTTGCAAAACATATACAAGATGTTTCATACAATTAAATCTGTAGTTAAAAACTGATCTTTACTTGTAAGAACAAAAGGATGTAAATGCAAGTGCTTTTCAACAATACTCCATACAGTATTTCAAAGCTCTTTAGGGCAGAATTGTGCTATCTGCTGAATGCTGTCAAAAGGAAACTTTTTTCCAAATTTCGAAAAAGGGTTAAAACTTAAAGATCCAGTAGATTTATT